ATATGCATTAAACTCAAACAATAATTTGTTGTTGGCCGCAAACGATTAAAGAAATTAGTTACTTTTAACTCTCAGAAATAGTCAAAAATAATGACTTATCTTAAATTAGTCAAAGTTTAACTATTTAAGTAGTAAAAAATAATTATTTAAAAGTGAAAACGACTATTTTATTAGTAAAAAAATGCTGGTACTAATTCAAATAGTAGAATTTTGACTATTTCATTTTAAGAGAGATGGGTCACATTTTAGAAAGACTAGTTCAAAAAAAAATGGTGTGACAGAATCATATGAAAATATTTAATTAAATGCTTGATTGAGACTTAAAGAAAATTCATATTTTTGTTATTGCACTATTTGATTCAAAAGAACAGTAAATGTACTTTATACTTATTTGATCTGATATTCTAATCTTAAAATTTAAATACGTCACGTAGTTGTTATTATATTTAATAAGGGACTGCTATAAATTAATCAGTGTTATGTTTTTATCAGGGCCCACCTCTAAAGCGATTACATACCATCTTGTAGTTAAGAAGATACAAAACTTTGCCTGACGAGCGATACGAATACAAACTGCCCCATTTGTGCAGCTTGCCTTCCAAAAACCGAGTTCATCCCGAATTCACGGCATGCCCGGCCGAGAAAAAAGCCGGAGTTAGCTTTGTTAAAGACATCCGCAACGTTACCCTTTCCACTACTAAACTGTTTTAATAGAAAGACCGTACATTTTGCTGAGCTCTTTCTAAACTTTCATTAAATTTTCCACGGTTATTAATAAAATGTTCCCACAGTGGATTATGTTAAACTTTTGACAAGCACTTTTCCGTCCTATATACAAGGTGCGATATAAGTTTTGTATAATATTTTAGCTGCTGGGGATAAAAATGTACTTGTACCAGGGCAGACAGTTTGCTTTTCACAGATCCTGAGTATCAAACTGAGCCCAGTCTTGTTGAACAATAAAACCGTCTTGACCAAAGTTATCCAAGGTACATACAGATCCCCAAAAAAATTCCAAACAAATATCTGTTGGTATTGGCATTGACCTTTTACATTGCAGTCTGCACAAACCATTTTCAATTCCACAAAACACCAGCCCAGACCATCACAGAATCTGAAAAAGTGACAGATTTCCCTGCAGTGATATTTTCCCGTATGTGTTCAATTATTGCTTTTGTTCTCTTTGTCCACCATGTATACTTTTAATAAAAGTTTTCCAAGAGTTTTAACAAAAAATGTGTATCAAAACATCGTCTATTTTGGGATAAACATTGGATACATTCTTAAAATAACAACGAACGTTTTTTAATAAAGAAACCAAATCTAATGATGATCGGAAAACTTGTTAATTAAAACTTCCAATTACTGAACAAGCAATAAGCAATTACCCTTTAATTATATGCTTTTGTGCTCATTTTACCGGGTATAATTTTATAGACTTTATTGCTTTATTGTTTTCGAATTTTTAGTAAAAACATTAAGCTTAATTTGGTTCAACGATTTACAAAGGATCCAAGTGCCAATTTAAATAGGTTTAGTTATACGTGTGTAAAACTCTATATGCTATATAGGCTTTATCTACATCAATACCTGAAAATATTTTAATTGCCGTTTGGACCCTTTTTAACTAATACTCTTCATTTGTACTATAAAGAATATAGAATACATACTCTCTTAAAATGAATTAGTCCATTATGAGCCATTAGTCACTTTTATAAAAATCAATTTTATTGGACATAAATATTTTATAAAAACTTAACAACTTTTCATCAAATAACACAAATTGTTAAATATTTTTAAGATAAATTGCAGTTTTAGGTAATTTTTTTTATTTCGTCTTTGTAAATATCATATAATTCATATATTTCTTTCTCGGATTCCTCATCCCTTTTCTGGATTCTGAAGGTAACTACTAATTCCTTGGTCTGACTTCTGAAATAGTTTGTTGCAAATATCATTAAGTGTGGTATCTCTAGTTTGTGAGACATTTATAATGTTTAGGCCGGAACAGGATGATTTATATATATCTAATATTTTTTCGTGTGGTATGTTAAAAGTATTTTCCGAGTTTATTAATTTTGTTACCATTAGTTTTTTATGCTCTCTATCATGCACTCTAATTAAATCATTGTTATTCTGCAAGATGTCCTGTGACGAAGAAATCACTATATTACTTACTCTCTAAAAATGAATTAGTCATTGAATGTCATAGCGAAAAAGCAGCCACTAATAATTATCGTCAACAGCAATTTTTATATAGGACATTTAGCAGTCAATTCCTATGAATCAGAAAATGTCGTCAAAATTGTATATTGTATAAACTCGGTATAAACTTAACCTTGAGAAAAAAAAGTAAAAAATATAACCATGATACTTCTTTCCAAAAAACTTCAAGTAATTTTAAATTTTGTTGAATCATTTAACTGACTTGTTAATAATAAAAATACAAACCCTGGAGTGAAGGAATTGTAAATAACCATCAGTGATTTAATTAATTTGCAATAACCAATTATGCGAAAATTGCTTCGTTTTTGTGTCCGTTCATCGGTGTATTAGTTTTGACCCAAATAAGTTGGGGGAGTCCTACGAAAACGTTTATTAATACCACAACTGGCGAACACAAATTGGTTCTCACACATTTATTACTTCGGATAGTTGCTATTACTTCTCTAAGAAACGGACCATCTGATTTCTCGAAAGCCTCTTAGGATAAAATGGATATTTAATTAGTTCATTCGAGGTAACATCTATAAAAACATTTAATTTAAACTTTGAAACTCCTTTTACAACTTAAGTATCAAAACTAAATTAAACAATGATTCGGGGAATTGCATTAATAAGTTGGACGAAATTAAAATGAAAATTTCATTAGATAAATCTGAAAGTTATGATTTTTCGGGCATAAAACTTTTAATTTGTATTTTGTAAAAAAGTGGCTTTAAAATCAAATATCAACACCGGACAGTAAATTTCTCATTTAAATTTGTTTTTTAAGTTCGGAGCATTTTTTAAATATTTTTTTTTTATTTGGACGTCAAAGCTAAACATCCAGCACCAAATGTCAAGATGGAAGAAGTCGAAAAAGTTTATGTCCTTTAGATATAACCAAAGAAGCCCAAAAAGTTGGCAAATTTAAAAAATGGGAAGAGGTACGGTAGCAATAACGAAGAATTTGCTGATGGCATATTTTCTAAATATGAAGAAAAAAATGCATCCTCCTCATTATGGACAATATATAAGATGCTCAAGACAACCCTGCGAGTACATGTAGAATTCGTAAATTAGTTAAAATCTTATCTAGCAAATATATTAAATTCTAAAAGAAACGACATACACGTCATCAATCAGTTGATCGGACCATAGGGTCCCTAGATTTGGGACCTTAGAATACCAAAATTTCAACATTTTTTTATAAATAATAAATTTGTTTTTTTTTAACAAATCCTAGTTTACATAAAACCTTGAATTATTAACAAGCAAAAAAATATTTTCAAAATGATTAATTTTTTAAATGTTAGTAAATGTGTGACCCAGGGGACAATTTTTTTCTTATTTCTTTTTTAAGGGCTTATTTAAAAAAATCCAACTGCCCACTTTTAGGTGTTAAATAACACCACTAAATAAACAAAATTTGTCGAAACTGACAATAGTGTGTTATCACATTTATCATGGGTCACAAATTAGTACGAAGTATGTTCAGAAAATAACGGGAATTGTTAAATTTCGCGGGTTCGGAGGGTCCGGTTTTCATAAAATTTTCTTTATTATGTTGGTATACATGTCCCCGAAGTATGATGAAAACTTTAGCTGTTTTCATTGTTTACTTTGTCTGTGGCAGCCGCTAAGGTTAGACGTGTTTTATGAGCTCGGCAATTTTTCGTTCGTTAAAAGAAATGGATCAAAGAATTTGTATCCAATTTTGCTTAAAAAATTAAATAAATTCTGTGAAATGTTAACAAAGGCCTATAGTGAGTCTGCTATAAGTAAAACAAGAGTTTACAAGTGGTATAAGAGTTTCCAAGATGGCCGTGAAGACGTTGAAGATGACGAACGCCCCGAACGCACAAACACATTAACAACCGATAAAAACATAGAAAAAGTGGAAGAAATGGTTATAAACCATCAGAGAAGTCGCTGATGATGTTGGTATATCGATTGGCTTATCCCATAAAATTTTTTTGAATGTTTTGGGTATGAAACGCGTGGCAGCAAAATTTGTTCTAAAATTGTTAAATTTTGAACGAAATTTTTGGCCAAAAACAATACTGTAATAATGCCCCACCCTCCATATTCACCAGACATGCCTCAGTCTGACTTTTTCCTATTCCCAAAAATAAAGAAAACCTTAAAGGGCCGTCGTTTTGCAAGCATAGATGACATTAAAAGCGCATCGCTGAAAGAACTAAAGGCTATCCCAAAGATCGAGTTTAAGAAGTGTTTCGAGTATTGGAAGAAGAGCTGGCACATGTGCATAATATCCAATGGGGACTATTTTGAAGGCGACAATATTAATGTAGACGAATAAATAAATATTTGTTTCAAAAAACGAAAATTACCGATATTTTCTGAACACACCTCGTATATGTATGCTCTTATTATTTTGTAAATTCTTAATAAAACAAATTATACTTTTATTTTTTAGAAAATGAAATGCGTTAAGATTCGCCAGTAAATTGCATTATGTTTCAATTCAATGCCGGTTACAATCAGTATAATTATGAGGTTAACGGTTCAATTTATTAAAACGTGTGTTAGCGTCATGATTAAAGAACCGTATAGATTTGCGAGAGTGGCGGTTCTCGCGGCGATAACAAGTGAAATTGGAATCCGTCCGCAATCGCATCCCGGCTGCCATAATCATTCCCTCGCTTTGCTTATTTGTCTTAATGGGCTTTCCAAATTAGCTGCACTATTGCGTCATTAATATCCAATCCTCGAGCGCTATTCTATTCGCCACGAAAACTCTTACCAGAGGACTAATTGATGTGTGATTGTTTCAGACCCTCCCAGGGTTGCTGTAAAGATGGACTCGGAAAGCGTCGGCGGCCCTATTAAGGAAGGAACCGACGTAATTCTACGTTGCGACACATCTGCCCAACCTACACCACATAGTTACAGCTGGTATCAAGATGTAAGTTATATTAAAATTAATTAGAAGGTTCCATATTTATGCAGGAAACATTGTTTACCCCAAAACGGTTATCCTGCATATTTAAACCGTTTGTGTTACGTGGCCATCTTTAAATTGGACGCAGGATAGTTATGAGGTTAGATTTACCTTTCTTAAGAATGTCTCTGTTATAAAAACTTCGTATAGAGTTGCCCAACAAAAACGAAAAAAGAGTTTTTAGGTAGTAATCAGTTATATTATAAAAAAACGCAAAAACATTTCAACTTTAGTTTTTACTTAGTGGTTACAAACCCTAAAATTTTAATAGTCATGACAGGGCAAGTGCTTGCTATTCGAAAACTCATCTGGTTTGTTTTCGTTTGGTCACTGTGTATAAAAGTTGTAACGGTACTATGCTCCACACCTCAAAGTCCCACCACGTGACCACGTACGGAACGCAGTCTTTTGAAAATTTGGCATTTTAGGCTTTTCAGGTTATGTATCTGTCAAAGTATAGTCAACGAAAGAAATAATATGTTTAGGCGTTAAAAATGTATAAATATTTATAACATTAAAAAACAATGGATGGTTTAAGAATTTAAGAATATAAATACTGCATTTAATGAAATTCTAAAGTGTATGGTGCCAAATAAGTAGGTAATATTTTTGTGCATTTGGTCCAAATATCTGGTTTTCTCCTAACTAAACAGCATTTATTTAAAAAAATCTAGCTTCTCTATTATGAAATAAGAATATCTGGATTAAAGGTAGGTTAATATATTATAACAAAAATATCATCTAATTTTGTAATTTTAAGGTTAGAAAAATATATTTTGACCAAAATAAATAGGTATTTTGGATTATTTAAAAGACTGTAAAATATGGTATTTAAAAATGTGGTAGTTTTCTTATCCAGCTTAAAGTATACCTACAAAAAAAGCTTTGACTGAAAATGATCTACATCAAAAAGTCATTATAACTTTAAAAATTTTAATAAATCACATGTCATGGGAGTATTAAATATTTTCACATTGCAAGTTTCTCTAAAAATTGTTTGTTTTCTTATAATCGTACTTAAAGTAAGTATACCGAGAGGTATGCACAAGTTTTGTCGTTAGAAGTATAAACGCTTCAATTTAATTTGAACTATATTCAACAATTATTTAGTATACCTATATTTATTTATGACGATATTAACACAATCTTTCAAATAATCCACTTATTTATTTTGGTCAAAATAGATTTTTCTAACCTTAAAATACAAAATTAGATGATATTTTTTGTTCTAATACATTAACCTACCTTTGATACAGATATTCTTATTTTATAATAGAGAAGTTATATTTTTTTTAATAAATGCTGTTTAGTTAAAACTATTTTATGGAGAAATGTAGACCCAATGCACAAAAATATCACTTATATTGCACCTTACACTTTGGAATTTCATTAAATGCAGTATTTATATTCCTAAATTCGTAAACCAACCATTGTTATTGTAATACTATAAAGATTTATTAATTTTTAACGCTTAAACATAAGCGGTAACACTATAAATATAATTTCTTTCATTGACTATACTTTGACAGATACATAACCTGAAAAGCCTTAAATGCCAAATTTTCAAAAGACTGCGTTCCGTACGTGGTCACGTGGTGGGTCTCAGGTCCAAGACCTGAAAGTCTTCCGATTATTTTTATATAATTATCTCTTAGAAAACCTTCCAAAATGGAAGTCATTTAAACGTATAAAACATTAAAAATTTATAACAAACAATAATGTAATTTATTGGATAAAGCAACAACAGTACCCATAACCCACATATACAATTTCTCTGATATGATCTTCGTTGGTTTTATTTATTTGTTTGTTTGTTGGGTGAAAGTAGATTGAGTCTTAGTCTTTATTTTTGTATTTGAAATGTAACTTTATCCGTCAAGAATTTTATATCCGTCATCAGTACAAAGTTTTTATAAGTATTAAATGTTTAATTTAAGTTTACTGTTACATGATTATTCATGTATTATTTATTAGAGTTCATGCTCAATCAACTGTTAGAATAAGGAGTAACAATAGTCGGCTTTAAGGTCATTCCAATCGAGGATCAGCAATTTTTCGGCAAACTTTAATAACTTAATAACTACCATAGTATAATGCTAATAATAATGATACAAATAATAAAAGACCATGTCTGCGTTGCGCATTCAGATGAATCCATACTTTTACGTACCTCTTAAAATTTACAGGATAGTAATTCCAAATGGGCTTCTTATGTCAGGAGACCACGGCCAGTGGTCATAAATTAAATGTCGCTATCGCATAATCACTGTTGCTACTCACTCCAAATGTAATACCAAATTATTAAATATGACTGGTAAAAACAAATTACGGGACATAAATGTGAATCTGCGAGTACAATTTCATAAATCCTTATCAAGTACATTTTATATACGCAGCGTGTGTGGTAAATCCCCTTTACGAAATATTTATTATAATATTTAGATAAAATCAAGTACAACCCTGACATTTTAATTGAATCATCTAGTATCAAAACCCCTTAAATACGTTTTGATAAAAATGAGATACTTACATTAAAATATTTCTACCCATCAATTTGTGCATAGAAATATTTGCAAAAGCAATCAAATATTTTTTATAAAAAAAACATTAATATATACATTACGTGGCTTTTGATTGATAGGTAGTATTTTTTTAAGGCATGGTTCTCATTTTTTATCAAAACGGATTTAAGGGGTTTTAATAAAAGGGGATTCAATTACATAAAATCAAGTACAACCCTGACATTTTAATTAGATAAAATCAAGTACAATCCTGACATTCTAATTAGATACTTTATTTAAAAGTAAATTTACACCATTTCGATTATAAAAGTCGTTTATTAAACAGCAACCATCATGGCGGAATAGATAGATGATGACGCCATCAATTGACCGAATATTTATCTTTACACAATGCATTTGTGTAAACTAATTATACCAAATTGTTTAGGATTATTTATACTACAATAATTTTGTTAATAGAATGTACAAACTTGGAATTTAAACGCACTTTTTCATTTACCAACTTTTCACCTGTTGTTTGTTACACCTTTTTTTCTAGAATCCTGGTTCTTCATCTCCCACCTAAAACAGGAGTGCCTGTCTTTCCCCCTTCTTTTTATCGTCAATTACATTACCAACCTTAAAATGCTTAGTTCCCTGCTTTCAGCTAGATTTAAACGTTAGTTTATTTAAATGACTTTTTGATTAATTCTTTAACATTAAAGTAGAAACATCAGACCACACAGTATCAAAAATTATGCTGATTTCGTTGTTTCGTTTTATTTTGGTGGTTTAAGAAACAAAAATAGAACAGGCGTCACAGGCAACTGCAAAATTATTTACATAAACAAACCCCTAATTGAATGTTGTGGAGAAACAAAATGCCCAATTGTTATTCAGTCCATTGTATTTTTAGAGTTTAAAGTAAAAGTATTCTAATATATGCGGAAGCTATGCAAAAGCCATGTTAAAGTTTGCAGCTTGTCCAATATAAATAAAAATCGAAGGAAATATGGAAATTAACTTTTCGCGTTTAGTCCCATTTATATTTGTGTTGTAATATTTTGGTTGTATTTTTTTTTCTTCATAAATATGTATACCCCGAATTGGCTACTTACATTGTAGCCCTGCTTTATCACTACTTTATAGTCTAAACAAGATTACTGCCGGGTACTTTCTTTTATACGCCGAAAGCTTGTCTCTAATGCTAAATATTTTCCAATTCGTCTTATACATTATTCATGTAACGTGTTACAGTTTGTTTTTTTATAAAAAAAATACCCTATTTATTACATAATATAGTGTTTAAATAACCGAAAACTTTCACTACACTAAGTAATATCTTCATCTGACCCTTCTGAAATCCTAAAAGGATGCTACCCTATTTACTATCATAATATATCTTACTCCTATTTGCATAAACTGTCCCTTATTAAGAAAATGTTTCTGTTAAGTGTAGATAGCATTTAGTCCGATGATGATAAATAAAGTTTAAAGTTGACATTAGAGGCCGGATTCCAGGCGAAATGCCTATCGTCAATTTTGATAGGACGTTAAAAATTCTTAGTGCAAAATGTGTTTTGGATATTTTTAGTTCAATTTAAAAGTTTTTCCACGACAAATACTTATTATTATTATCTTAAAATGATTTAAATAATATATATGTATAGAGCGACATCTACAAAAAATAAAATATCTCGCGTAACAATTTCTAACTTGGGGATCTATTTACCAGTCAAAATATCAAATTAGTATCTGTAAATTAAAATTATTCTCTTGAAAATGGACTAACAACAGTTTTTTACAGTGAAAGTAAACACCTGTTTCTAACTTCAGCCAGTGACTAAAAAGCCACACCTTTTGGTAGGACGACGACTTTTGTTTTTTAATCCATGCATTTATGTCAAAAAGTGTACTCTAGGTTAAGATAATAATACTAGAATTCCAAATTTCCAAAATAAAATTGTTTATCTCCACGCGGTCTTTAATTTAAACTTTATTGTTGTCAACATTCGATAAAGAAATACCTTGTTATGACCTAGGCCGATAAAAAAATTTATGAGGCAAGTAATTAGTTCGATTTTTTCTCGCTAGGGGTATTGTTTTGACAAATTAATCCTTTTCTAAGAAATTAACGTACTAAACTGGTTTTAATTTGTTTGTTTTACTGTTAATGTTTAATATTTTTCATTAAATTATTGTAAAATTAAATATGAATATTAAAACAAAAAGTGAGGTTAGGCAACCAAGAAAACGCACGATTCTTTTTCTACGATTTAAATTATCTTTAAGTTTTAATTTGCTTTAAGTTTTCAGTAAAATTAAATGTTAAACACAGCTTGAACATTCCAAACTACCTATTTTTTTTAAATAAAAATCCAAAAAATGGAAATTAGATACCTACCGGTTCTTAAAATACACTTACAACCGCACCTGTACTATAACCTATAATTATAGATATAT